TTAGATGACTGCTATTTGTTCTGCTTCTAAAATGCATCCTTGACAGATGGAATAAAACACTCCTGGATCTCCATTTACTTTGTTTTCTTCTGTAAACACGACTGGCAGATGACAAGGATCACTAGACTAGGGTTTCTCTCTGGACAGAGATCTCTCTGAGATCCTGATCTCTAGGATCCTTACTTGACCAAGCCTGTGGACTATTACTTTGCCTTCCACTGTGTCATTGGTTCAGCGTGATTTGTGCCTTTCATATGTCATTAATTCTGCCAGGTTGTACATAAAAGATTAGAAGGAAGTGATGAGAAAGCAGTGATTTTGTGCTTAGAAAATAATGGAAAGAAGATTTACTTGGTCATTTTAAGCTACTGGAGAACTTCCTGCTGTACAACTTTCATTTTGCTTAGGCAAACACAGGTGACCCATAGTCTATGGAAATAAGGGTCTGTTGCAGAGGTTTGCTGGTCATCCAGTGTTTCCTAAGCATAGACATGTTCAAAAACCAAGAATCTGCCCTTAAGGAACCATGGAACAGAGGGAAGCTGCCATACTTTGTGTGTTTACCATCTTCCATTTCTGTGGCTGCCACCTTTAAGTTGCCTTCCTGCCTACCAAGGTCAGGTGGGTATTTATTGAAGGTGCCATCTATTTCTCCTTTTCCTCAATTCCCCTCACTCCACATAACATGCTAAGATGAATTCCTCTATAATATAAAATAAAAACAAATAAGAGTAGTTGTTCTCAATATTTAGCTGGAGGAAAACCTAATACTTTCTCTCCTTTTTCGGAGCCACTCTTGTATTTTCTCTCCCACTGCCCTAGCAAGACTTCTCAAATGTTTTGATTATATTGTCTTACAAAATATACATTATCAATTTGGTTTGTAACCTGAAACCAAAAGTCAAGGCCACCCATCAGTGATTTTTGAGTCTGTGGCTATGGCTCAGAGTTTCTGGGGCAATCTTTTCCAGCAAAGTGTTGCTTCATCTAGCCAGTCAGTCAAACTCCCAGCAAGAGTGGGGGTTGTATAAAGTGAGAGGGCAGCAGAGCTTTCTTTCCTTAGTCACCCAGCCATGGCCTGATCTCTTTTCTCTTCCTTTGGAGAGCATCTATTCTGCATCCTGAATGTCCAAAAAGGCTAATGGGGATCTTTATTCCTCAGATGACTCATACCTGCGCTCTGGAGACACATGCCCTTTTGTTTGGCTCCTGTTGGTAGAATCCATAGAAATGGGAAGATTCCATGTGAGGAGGAAAGGAAAGGGGCTCCCAAGGCGGGCTGGGGAGAAGGGGGTAATTTGGGAATAAGTGGAGATTTTGCTCTCTTCAAATTACATGAAGTAGTGAAAGCCCATTTCTTTTCCGGAAAATACTTAAAGAAATGTTTTTGAAGTGTTCAGTAGAAATACTTCAGCTGGAGGTATGCAATTGCATTGATGTGAATGCAGATAGAATTGATAGGTACAGATGACAAATTATTTTTCCAGAGATAAATATAGGCTTTCTAAACAGTATTCATTCATCATTCATTTTTTTTAAGTTGGAAAAAAATCTGAACATTTGAATTATCAAATGAGAAATCAGAATGCTTATTTTTCTCTCAAAACACTGTGTCCATAATAAACTGTGATAAGATAATGAAGCTACTATAATCTCTTTCCTTAAGAAACTGATCTTCTAGTGGATGAGAGATGACTATGCCTGGGGGGAGTGAGCTAATCAGATTAATCTGTGCCTTCATAGCTCTGCCTTGTTATCCACACTTGGAGGGTTTTGTAGTCAAGATGCTTGTAGCAGAAATGTAGTGGCACCAGACACTTGTGGTTATATTAGCACAGGTAGCCATGGGCCCCTTCTCTTTGTTTCACACTCACCTTTTCCCGCCATGCATGGGCCAGGACAGCTCAGCATCTAAAGTTTATACTGCTCTTTTGTCTTTCTTTTTTCCCCCCTTTGGTTTATCTCTGTTGTCATTGTTTGTGATTTTGGTACCTTGTGTTTTGTATATAAATTTATCTGATTTGGGGAAGGGAAGGGCAAATAACAAAATAGTGAGACAAAGGACAGATGGTAAACCACTGCAACAATGATACAAGATACTGTTTTAGAAATGAACTTTACAACTTGGGAGGGAGGGAAGTCAGGAGGGGGGAGGGAAAGTGGGAGAAAACAAGGGAGGGGGTAACACTGTTTGATAATAAATGTACTCATTACCTTACTTATGTAACTGTAACCCCTCCCTCTGTATATCACCTTTACAATAAAATTAAATTTTAAAAAAGAACTCTTCTTATGTTTTCAGGTACTCTTCTTATTACCCATTTGAGAGATCTTGGCATCAGCTCTTAATATCTTTTCTGCCCCGTCCCCCCCCCCCACACACACACAAATTTTGTCAGTGGCCATGACACTGGACAGAAAGGATGCTGTGGGCTGAACAAAAGTTAGAGTAAATGCTGGCTGCATCATGCTGTAAAAGGCAGGACATTCTGCTGGTCTTCCTGCCTAGCCCTTTGCATCTTCTCTCTCAATATCAATACTCATTGTCTGCTTATAACATGCTAGATGCTAAGAACCTGTACTATGCCTTCCCATCAAAACACTGTGACTATGAAAGCATATTAAGTAGTGTTGATATGAGGACTCACGTTAGTAATGTGCATGAAAGGACCAAAGTGCCTGGTGAACAATAGAACGCTCATTAAATGTCCTTCTGTGGTCAGCCAGTAAGTCTCTTCTTCTGCAAGTTCTCAGGCATGTGTTACTCTCAGTTCTTAGCATGAATAATGATAAGATAATTAGGTTTATACATATATTCCCCAGATCTATTCCATTAAATTCTTCCAATCTCTACCTTCCACACTTAGGAAGCATTGCTTTTGTTTGTGTTACTCTTTGTTTAAAACCTTTCAGTGGTTTCTAAGGCTTATCCAGAATATTCTGAATTTCATCCTGGCCTCTCAAGTTCCTTTAAGTATTCTCAGACTTGGCTCAGTATTTAAATTCCTCTTGGCATTTCAACTGTCAACAAATCTGAGGTCCTTTCTCACCCACTGAAATGACTCACCCTCTTCGATTGCCTTCATCTACTAATATGTACAGGGACTCACCTTATTATTGGTGAGAGAAGAAAATAGCACATGAGCAGAGAATGTAAGAAGTTCTAGCTTTAAGCCATGCCTCAGTTCCTTTCTGCAACTATAACAGAATACTTTAGACTGGATAACTTACAAATAGCACCGATTTATTTCCTCACAGTTATGGGGAGTAAAAGTCCAAAATCAGGGGTACTGAAATCTGGTGACAACCTTCTGGTGTCTTCCTCAAGGAGAAGGAACACTGTATTCACTAGAGAGGGAAAGTGAAAAGGCTGAGAGATAAGGTCCAAACTTACCTTTTTTTAGTGTGTTAATTCTATGCAATCAGCTAAATTCTAAGGGTCCAATCACCTTCCTACAGTCCGACCTCAACCCCACTACAACAGAGCCAAATTTCAGTGTAAGTTTTGGCGGGAACAACCATCCAAACCACGGCATACAGGAAAATGTACGACTTCCCTAAAACTTTGAGGATATTTTTTTTCTTTTTTTGGGGGGGGGGTCCGGTCGTGGGGCCTGAACTTTGGGTCTGAATGCTGTCCCTCAGCTCTTCAGCTCAAGGCTAGCGCTCTACCACTTGAACCACATCGCCACTTCCGGCTTTTTTCTTTTTACTTATGTGGTGCTAAGGAATCGAACCCAAGACCTCATGCATGCAAGGCAAGTGCTCTACCACTGATCCACCTTCCCAGCCCTGATGTTTTTGTTTCTTTAACACTTTTTTATTACTCTACAAAGACCAATAGAGTAGTAGAGCTTACTTTGTAGCTTAATTTCAAGATTTTTCTTGTTTCATTGGTACTCAAGGGTTCATGTTTGCTAAGCAGATGCTATCCCACTTGATTCATGTCTTCCACCCCTTTATAATTTTAGTTATTTTTCACATAGGGTCCTGTGCTTTTACCTGGGCTGACTTTGGACCATAATCCTCCTACTTTTACCTCCCAAATAGCTGGAATTATATGCATACCACCACCATTGCTTTGTTTTTAAAATAAGGTCTTGTTAACATTTTTGCCCAGGGTGCCCTAGAACTTTGATCAAGCTATGTCTACCACTACATAGCTAAAATTACATGTACATAGCTAAAAATTACATGCCTGTTCTCAGCTTCAAGCTTTGAAGATGAGTGTATCTTTTATGTCCTTCACATTATACCATCCATGAAAATCTCTTATGTGATTATTACTTACTCATTATTGCCACTTTTTATTCGTTCCTCTAACACATACATTATTGGGTTAATTTGTAGGATTCCTTAACATTGGTTCATTTGGGCTTGGGAAATATTGCTAGGTAGAAGGTTTGGCTTGAGTTTTTAAGGACCCCCTCCCATCAATGACAGCATTGGAGGCAAACAGGCTGACACAGAAGGTGTTGGGGTGCACCCAGCGATTTATTATTTCAAAGGGTTGTTTTCTATAGATTAGGCTCTAGTATCTTTATGATTTCCTTAAGTTCAAAATCCTGCCAAGGAAATTATGCAACCCACATTTAGAGACCCTTGTATGTTATTTATAATCAGTTATTTTCTTTGTATTTATGGGTTATTTCACCACAGAGTACAATATTACATTGTGTGTGTGTGTGTGTGTGTGTTGGTATAAGACATGGCAAAGTACTTTAAATTCAGATGACTGGTTTATACCTTGGACAAATGCAGTATCCTGTCTCCCTTTAGAGAATAGGGGTCATGGTTTATTTGTCTTTGACTCCTGTCAGCACTAGAATTTTGTGACTTTAACTATCCATGAGCACAGACAATATAAAGTGAAATGCTTTCTGATAGTTGCTTGTAAGATTCTGTCTATATCAAAAATTAAATGACTCCTAATTACAAGTATCGCTTTGGGTATAGTATATCTAATGTGTTCTAATTTTTGTTTTCCTTTCTCTCTTCAGTTTGCTGTTTTGTGGTTCACAAGAGGTGCCATGAATTTGTTACTTTTTCATGTCCGGGTGCAGATAAGGGACCTGACACTGATGTAAGTAGTCTCAAAACCATTATTTGGTGCTAATGTGCATTCATTTCTAAGCTTTATTTTTATGTACCCATACAACTGTTGTTTTGGCACATACTATTAGTGAGAAGATTTTTCAATTAGTCTCCTGTAACTTTGACTTGTACTAATGAACAGATGTATTGTCCTTTGGAGCCCTGAGCTGCTTCTCAGAGAAATTCATAGAGGAGAATCATTAGCTTCTGTTCTTATTCTCTGGGTAGCCACATTGACTAAGTCTACTTCTTTTATGTTAATAACTCTAGGGACAGATTTTACAATGGACATAAATCACCAATTGATTTGCTTCTGTAAGTTTGTGAACTGATAGGAGCATCACTGGTTTCAGTCAGTGATAAAACCTAGTTTGTTCCATATACTGTATTGTCATGTTGATTGTAAATGCTACTATTGGTGGAAATAACTTAGCATCTGGTTCACTGAGCTATGGTCTCTGCAGCTGCCCCATACGTTCATATATCTGTGTCATTATTCTGCTCAATTAGTCCCTATTGAGTAACTCTCTTTTGTCTCTATTTTTATTTTTATGGAAAAAAATGAGACCAGGAAAAGACAGTGAGAGTTAAAAGACAGGGAAATACCAATGCCTACATTATACTGGTTAGAAGGAATGAGTTGCTTTTTCCCAGATCAATTTAGTTATTCATCCATAAATTATGGTGTCAAGTGCTTCCTACTTCACTGCTTGTTCCTATCAGAAAAGTTTGATTTTAAAGTAGCTTTCTCAGTATAGGCAGGGTTCAAATCTTTTCTACTCTTCCTAGAAGATGATACTTTTGTGTTGCTCTGTAGGATTCAGATTCTTGTAACTCATGTAATAACAGAACTTAATTACTTGACCATCTTTGGACAGTGTGATTCAGATACTAATGGAGGCAGCATTAAGTGGGTGCTGTAGGCTTCTGGCCACCAGGTTTCCACAGAACCCTGCTGGCCATGCAGCTAGAGGAGGCCTCACAGGTGTCCTTTCTGAATCTCTTTGTAGATGAGGGAAAACAAGTTCATGAACATCAAATGCCTTCCCTATATAGGAATAAAACTAATTACTGTCATCACCTTCCCTCCCCTAATTTTCTAATGTTCTTTCTTTATGGAATATTGTCTCTGTTTGGGGGCATTTTCAAGATAAAGTAGATGGAAGGTACCGTATCAAATTTTCCAAAACCCTTAAGTCCTGTTACTCTTGTTTTGAAAGTGTCCCAAAGCATCATATATTCCTTTATTTCCTTGCTCATTAGTCTCATCTTCATTGTCTTATTTTATATTTCCTCTTTTGTCATGTATTCTCCTACTATTTCTGCCGCATCAAGAATGGAAAGGGAAGTGTGGGCAGGCTATAGTAGTTTTTGTACAGTTTTTGCTTCATTCAGTCTCTTCTTTTTCCTCTTCCCATTTTTTAAAATTTTTTTGTCCAGGTATTCTTTATTGAAAATCCATTTTGTGCCAGCCCACATTCTGAAGAAAGATGTGCCCTTTGCCCCTAGGGGCACCTTCTGGGGAAAGATGGACATTAAAATGTCACTAATTGAAATAGGATTCGGTTACATTGAGCAAATTTACCTAAGGGAACTCTGTGTTGACCAAGAAGCTTTCCTTGTAGGCATGGAATTTAAGCCAAACTTTGGCAATGAGTAGCAAATCCACAAGCTAAAGGAACTATGGGGTGTGTGTGAGTGTGCATACACATGCACACACACACACACACACATGCAAATGCATGCATGTGTGTGTCTATTGATGTAAGGGGCCCAAGAAGGAACTGTTACAGACAAATGGAAAAAGAAGTGAGAAAGCCAAGATGTGCAAAGGAATTCAGTATATGATAACCCAATAAAGTAGAGCATCAGATGTCTTATGAAAGATTTGGGACACATCTTAAGAGCATTGGGGTTTAGGTACAAAAAAGGTTTTAAACAGAGAGTACTGAAATTCCATGTGCACCTTATACAGGCTTCTGTTGACTCGTTGTAGGAAGTGTAGGTTGTAGGAAGTGTAGGTTGGAAATGGGTTGATATACTGGGGATATGTCAAAGCTACTCTTTAGGACAGGGAGCTGGGAGCTAGTTGGAAGTGGATGCAGTGAGGATGGGCAGAACAAACACATTAAAGGACCATTTAAGAGCCAGATCCTTACTTCTTGGTCATTATGGGTTTAGGGAGATAGGGAGAATGAGAATTATTCCCACGTTTCTGGGAAAAATATATGAATGGATGAAGGTGCTTGAAGGGCTATGAGACTTTGGAAGGAGAGCATGCTTTTGGGAAAGGGTGATGGGGCAAATCAAACCTTCACTTCTGATTAGTTCAGTTTGATGAATCTGACTCTAAAAGGGTGTGTGGACCAAGTGTGGAGGTCAGAAATGAGGTTTATCCTGAAGATCTAGATCCTTGCTTTAAGCCCTGGGTTGAGTCCTTTGTCTTAAGGAGAGGTAGAAAGGGTTAGATCACAGTGGAGACCACTATGGAACTATGGGCAGATTGGATGGGAGAAGAAGGTCAGGGAAGGAGGCCAAGAAGGAGCTGCTAGAGAAGTAGGAAGACTTGAGTCTATCTTAACAATTTTCTAGAGGCTGTAGGGCAATTTGGTGATCATGTTGATGAATTTGTAATGGATTTTCTACTTTTTTAATATTTGTTGCAAATAAGCAATGTACAGTTTGCATAGGACTGTCTTGTTTACATGGGAAAGTCTTGGTTTAGATTATAGGTCAACTAATACATGTTCATTGTTAACAATCTCTGTCAGACTTAGTCTACTTTCTTATTTGGATATTTATCATATGGTCATCATATGTTTCAGGGAATTGTTGCTTGGGGTGGATTATAAGGGGACCACATCTACGGCCTGATTGAAGGCTAGGTTCTCTTTCTGTGCATATTTGTGCTTTTAACTAGTTGTAGGTGCTGAGATTCACATACTAACATCCTTAAAAGTGATTATAAGAGATGGATTTTTTTCAGTATAAGAGTCAGAGAAGTACATGAAATATTTTTAAAAGCTACAGAGAACCAGTGAGTCCCACTTGTCCCATTCACAAAGAATTGTGTATGATCTTACATGGAGAAATTTTGCCTTTTGTTTTTTAGAGTAAAGCAATTTATGATTAGGGGTTTTATGATAATGCAGCTGTGGCATGAGAGATGTCATTGTGTGTGTACAAAGCAGTTTTACTTACTTGCACAGTTTTGTACACACCTATTAAAAATATGGTCAAAAGAAAAGTTTAGACCAAATAGATAGAAAAGTGTTAGAGGACATGAGAAAGACCAGTTAAGAGAATGGAAGGATGAGGATAAATAAAATAGAACTTAAAAGGAAAACTTTGCCCCAAGCATTTTCCCCTTGAAAAATTAAAAATTTTGGATGAAAGATTTTTTATAGCATGGAGAAGTGTTCAGATGCACCATACTGTATAACAATGCCTTCATTGAACTCACAGACCCCAAAGCATTTGCAGATTAGGAAGAAGAAGTTACAGAGCCTGTGAAACCTATAAATAGTGAGCCTACTCTGCCATCTTCAAGATGAAAGGAATAGAAAAGTACTGAAAAATCAACCAGCAGCACCCAGATAACAGCCAGATGGGAAAAGCATTCTGAGTTCTTTTGAACAAATGTTCCTCAGGGCTCAAGGAGCAGCCATAGTTGAAAAGAAAGGGCTTCTGTGTTCAATCGAAAGACCCTTGAAGATTTTCAGGCCAATTTCCCAGCCCTTTGCCCAATCTGGAGGAGCATCATACCCCAGGCAGGCCCTCCCTCTCAAGAGGGAGGAAGAGATTCTAAGTGTCAACGCATATACATTGAGTGGACAGGAAGAAACAAGAAAGGGTTCTCAAGAACTGGCACTAGAGGGGTCAAGTCAATCTTGGGAACCAGCACTCAGCTGCTTGAAAGTGGGAATGTTGTGGTATGTGACTCACAGAACAAGTGTGTTCTTCCCATTTGGTGATAAAAAGGGCCCTTGGAATCTGGCCAGAATTTCTGTTTCAGGTGTTCAGTCTCTGAATGTAGCCCAGGGCTCTGCCTACTGCTCCCAAATCCAAGATTTTGTAAGATAACTGAGAACCTATTTTTTAAAAATGATCCTTGTTTAGAATAGCTTCTTTTGAGCTAGGGATGCAGCTCAATGATAGATGGCTTTACTTCTGGAATGTCTTTTCTTCTTCCTCTACTGAACTAAGATTTGAATATAGTAAAAGATAAACATGACCTTGTTTTGCTTTGGGCATTGGGTACAGTGAGGGAGAGTTTGCAGAAGAGCAGTACATGCTGTTATGCATGCAGCCACCATTGATCAGGCGCTCTTCCCTGCCATGACCATGATAATGTGGGGTGGGAAGGCTATGGAGGGTTCTGTGGGGCTGGCCTTTCTCTAGACTTCTTCCTCCCAGTTCTTTTTTTTTAATGCAAATATATTTTATTCAGAAAGAATATTTTATTTAATAATATTTGAGAATTAATCATCACAGACAATCTTTGTTAAACTGTCCTGCTCTTGGATTTTTTTTTAGAAATTTATTTTATTTATTTTTTTTCTTTTCTTTTTTTTAATTTAATTTTATTTGTGAACATACTGTACAGAGGGGTTACAATTACATGGGCAGGATAATGCGTACATTTCTTACCAAGCATTGCCTCCCAGTTCTTAAAAATCTTAGTTCACCAGCTCTGTCCCTCATTCTGGAACTCCTTCCTGTTTTAAAACCACCTCCATTTATTTTACATTATGCCTGTTCCCAAGGCCCAAATTGCTAAAAAGAAAATCAGATCTTTGGTCCTTGCAGTGTTCATGTATGTATGTATGTATGTATGTATGTGTGTGTGTATGTATGAGTATATATGTTGTGTATATATATGTGTGTGAGTGTGTGAGCTTGTGTAGGTATGAGTATATAAGTTTATTAGCACATTCAATCCCTTTTATACTTTGTTTTCTGTGTGCTTAAGTGAGAACAAAGCTGTGA